AAAGTACAATGAGAAAAACTCACATCACAAGCTGCACATAACTGATATCGCCCAACTCCGCATCTCAACTCTCTACTCAACGCCTACATCCACCAAGTGACCAATTTCCATCAAAATCTCAAAATACCCAAAATACCCTCAAAGTCAAACTTGGTCAAACTCAAATTCAACTGATCAAAGTTAACAAACCCATTGAGTCAACCCAACCGAGTCAACCCAATCGAGTTAACTCAATATGGGCTGACCCATGCGAGTATGCAGGGCATACTCTGGAGGTACGGAGGTACAAGAAAACTCGAATTGACCAGCTTACGGGTGGCTGGACCAAGTACGCGAGGCGTACTCCCACATACGTTTTGGCGTAACTTTTTCGCAGTCCTCAAATCTTCATTAAGTGCTTAATGGCTTAAGCAATTAAGCCCATATTTCAGATCTATAGTCCAAATGCACTCTAAAGTCATAAAGTTTCCAACTTTTTGACTTTACATGTCCATAAAGTCCTTAACACAAGGTCTTAATCCATTAAAACCATCTACAAGATGCATGAGACAATTTTAGCCATTGGAACCTCATTTTTATGGCTTAGGACCCTCCTGGTTGAAGGACGCTCAAAATGTCTTAATACCCAACATGCATGAAATGAGACTTTTGGGACAAGAATAACAACATAAAGCTACCAAAATGAGATCCAAGCAAACAAAACATCAAGGTGAAAACTTTTTACCTTCTGGAGCTTCCCAATAAGGTAATGCCCCAATATCCACAAGCTTGCTTCAACGTCTAAGCTCATTGATGCAACTCCTTCTTCCTTAACTTAAGCACACCAAGAACACACTTTTAGCTCAAAAACAATCTTAAAGGACTAGGGTTTGCCAAAAATCGACTCAAAGTCTTTGGAGGCTGAAAAAGTGGGGGTAAATGAGCCATAAAGATGCTTAAATACCCCTCAAACCCTAAAACTTAGGGTTTCTCTCGGCCATGATTACGCCCAACGTACATATGTGTACGCCCAGCGTACATATGTATACGCTCAGCGTACTAGGGCGCGCCCTAGTACGCTTAGCGTACCCACATGTACGCTTAGCGTACTCTTCCTGCCCCAAAATTACCATCTTGATCCTAGGGCATTAAAGCTCATTCTCATGGACTTAGGGACTAAAATGTCATATGATAAAACCATAAGGATGAATTTAGAAGTACCTGAATCTCGGGATGTTACATCTTATTAGGTCAAATTAGGTCAAAAGGGCCAAGATTCCATGTATGGCCTCAACACAAATCTTAAATCAGATCAAAAAGAGCCAAATGCTTCCAAATGGCCTGAAGATTCATAAAGTTGCAAACTTTATGAGATTCAACCTTTCAAAGCAACAAGGCATAGAGAAAAGTGGACAAAATCCATAGATCTATCAACTACCTCATCAAGATGAAGAATTTATACCTCCTTGAGATGCTTGAGGAAGATAAACTCCTAGACCTACGTTGTTTTGGACTCCCAATATGATCTTCCACCACCTTCTTCATTCACAAGCACCAAACACACACACTTTAAGGCTAAAAACTCACACAATGGATCTAGGGTTTGCAAAGGGTGATTTGGAGAGATGGAGGCTGATGGGAGGGAGGTCATGAGAGGTTAAGGAGTTTAAATATGGCTCAACCCTTAAACTTTAGGGTTTTCTCGAACAGCCGCCACCACGCCGTGGCAAAATCACCACGTCGTGGTGGTTCATTAAACTCCTGCGGCCCAAAAGCTTATCGCCACGTCGTGGTGAGGTTTCACCACGTCGTGGCCAAAAAAAGAGATCATACACAATCGGAAACAATTTCATACCTCGATTCGAGTGTTACATATTGGATTTCATTACACTAGTAGCTTATTTTAATTTGTAATTTTTTTATTTGGATACTAAAACACTAAACGGATTTATTTAAGTTATTAATTAAGATACTTGGTACGATTGTTTTGATCAATATTATTGTGTTCTATATTAATATGTTTATTCAATTAATATAATTGGTTATTCTAGACATCAATAGTTGATCGTGTTATGGGAAATTGAGAATAACTATGACTTAAAACATCAACCATTTGAAATTTACAACCTCGAAAGTCATGACCATGAGTTTATATTTCTCTAAGCTGTGATTTTTGCCTATACCTAATATAAAAATTACACTTGAGGTCCTTTGTTAGATACGTTTCATCCGGTAGCTACCTCTAACGTTTTGGGTGATTTTTTTTCTTTTGTTTCCGTCGAGATTTGAGTCTAAGTTCTAAAAGAACTCCAAGGAAACAAGATTTCAAGGATTGTAAGCTTGTTGGAGTAACACTACTTCTATCTAATCACGAGTAGGGAGAAGACGTAATTGACGATGAGATTGTGTTAAGTTTAATTGTTGCATTTGGTTTCTTAGTGGGATATTCCATTTCCACACTTATGAACTTAAAATTTTGGGAATTTCATCTATTATTTGCTTCTTTTGGTTTTACTTATATTTAGTTATTGAATGATTGATGAAATAGACGCATGTAATCGAATGTTAAGTGATTTGATTTAATTGTGAAATTCAAGTTATGATGCCTTGATTTTATGTCTAAGCACTTAACTAAGTAGTTTTTGGATGATATTTGTATTCAGAATTCCATGAAAATGAAGTAGTTACCAACGAACCAAACATGGAACCATTGCACATATTGACCTGGTTCGAAGTAATATCATTCTTATAGCTCCATATAACCCATGTTTGTAGTAACAATGACTAGATCACACTAGTTCTTATGCAAATAGGTTGGGGATATGTACCAACTAGTAAGCACTTACCAAGTTAAGTACATCTCTACATGCATGTTAAGGCTGAGCATATTAGATTTAGGAAGAAAATGGGCCAAATCATATATGGGCATAAATAAAAAGAAATGCCTAGTCTCATATGAAATCTTTTGTCATCTCCAACAATGAAATGCTGTGCAATATCTATAAATGCCCATTTTCCTACATTTAATACTTCATATTTAAGAGTCCACGCTTTCTTCATGTAGGCATCGCTAAACATATCATCTAAAGGTGTTGTTTAATAAAAAACATTTTTGGTATGTTACATGAGCGGAGTCTTAGAAACATAATAATAAAGTGTGAAAATTTAATAACATATTATGATTATTTGAAACAATTTTGACAAATATCCTCTATACAAAAATACTTTTAGATTATTGAGAAACATATCACAGTTCACAAAAAATAGAAAAAAAAAATGAATACTTAATAAATAATGTTGGAAACATGAGTTTTTTTTTTTTTTTTTTTTTTTTTTTTAGAACAAAATGAAATACGGTGTTTAAACCGGTTTTTTAATTATTTATAATTCGATAAATTCTGTAAAATTCATTATAGGTTTTTTTTAGCAATCAGTTTCTTGTTATCTAGAGTTTGTTTTTTTTTTCGTAAATCACTGTATAAAACTTTGTATTATAAAAACCATTATACTTTAGAAGGTTAATCACTTGAAGATTTTTTTTCTATTTAACTATTGAAAGTTTAATTTTTTAAACCCTCTTTAGCTGGAAAATATAACATTCAGTTTGTTTTTCACAACTCAGTAATGAAAAAACTTGAAGCGGTTTCTAAAAAAAGAATAACAAACTTCCAATGGTAAAATTAGAATATATATTTTTTTAAATGATTAACAAAAATATGTTTAATTTATTATTATTTCCAAATTAAATTATAAATAATCTGGTTTAATATTTGGTATTTATCCTAACATATGATTATCTGTAATTTAAATATTATATTTTCAATATATACTTAAAAAGATTATTATGTTATTTATCTTTTTAACCAAAGTCTTTGTTTTCTTCATATTTTTCATATTTAATTAATTGAAGGTATATAAATATAACCTAATTCCGATAATTTCGTATCATAAAATTATTTTGCAAAGTAATCCATATCCATACACTTGAATAAACTTTCACCATCAAATTTCTTCATCACGAAGCAAGTTTTCAACCATGAGAATAATATTAATATTAAATTTAACAAGAAAAAGAACTTTGAGTTTGACCACACTTCTGTTTAACCGGTCACCGGTAAAACCCACCGCAAATAGTCAGAAAATCCCGGCTCCCTTCAGAGAAAGAAGCAGTAAAACTATACCAGCCAGACACGTGTCGGTTTATCCTCTTCTAGTCGTAGTAATACATTTTTCCATATTCCCCCCTTCCCCCACACTCTCTCTCTAGAGATAACCCTTCTCTCTCTAAAAAGTCCATCTCGCTCCCCTGAAACCCCATCGACAGATTCGTTCGACTCGACTCGGATCGGATTTCCGTTCGATTCTTGTTATCTATCATACTATCTCATAACGGTTGTGTTCCACATTCACGGCGATTGACCGACGTTCAAAGCGTTGTGATTATCTCGACAGACGACGACACCCTATCCATCGTTCCTTTCAATTCTATCGATTGCCTTTGTTCTGAGCAAAATCGTAGGTTTTCTGATATAAATCAGGTCATATTCTTCCACTCGTTGATTCTTTTATATTTGCTTCTTTGGTTAGGTGGATTAGGTCTTAATTTCGAATACTAGGGCATTATTATTCATTGATTCTTTAATTGTATAGTGATTATCGTTTTCGGTTTTCCTTTCTGCGGTCTTCTTTCAATATCTCGTAGTTGATATATATTCGTATATGTAGTGGTTCCAACAAGAAACTCCGTGAGATTTTTCGGTGCGTTATTTTAGTTTGCCCCCAAAATTGAGGGTTTTCTTGTCTGAGATTTGTTCGTCTTTTTCTAGGTCTAGGGAATCTGTAATCATCGAAACAAAGAAAAAAAAGCAAAAAAATCTACAGAAGAAAAAAGATCACGAAATATTCCTGTTTTGATTTTGATTTTGATTTGGCGATTTAGCTGAATCTGGGGTTTCCTTTGAAGTACCTTTTTCAGTTTCGTGTCTCCGGGAAAATATAAATTTCTTTTAGGTGTACACAAAATGGCTCTGAACTATTCTCAGCGGCCAGTTTTTCCTGCTCATACATCCGAAGACAATCTGATTTCACCCTTGAGGATCGTGAATGGGTATGTCGTGGAAGGCATGTCAGACAGAGGGGGAGAAAGCTTCGTGAAGCCTAGACATGGTAATGGAGAGATCCATGATCGTTTTGGTGGCTCACCAGATCCAGTTTCTACAGACATAATCGACTTATTACCTTCAGATCCATTTGGTATGGAGATCGATATCAGCACAACTTTCACAGCCATCACCGGGTGGCTTGAAGATTTTGAAGTGGACTACGTGCAATATGTCAGAAACAACATTGCTAACACAAATGAAGATTACAGATTATATGCAGGTCTCAATCTGATCTGGAACAGTGCCCTGAGGTTTCAATCGTTTCCAAGCAATGAATCACCTGATGATAAAGGTGGTGCTAGTTTTATGGATGATGAAGACGCCACAACATCCAATAACGAAGGAGGAGACCCTCATGAGGCGTTTGTTCTTGCTCTCACTTATCTTGGAACAAAAGATCTTCTTTTACTCGAATGTGTTTGTAAAACTTTATCTTCTACAATACGTAACGATTCGTTATTATGGAGAACCATTCACATTGATCAGCCATTAAGTGAGAAGATCACCGATGATATTCTTGTCCAATTAACCAACAGATCAGAAGGTAACCTCAGATGTTTAACTCTCATAAAATGTCCAAGAATCACAGATGATGGATTGAAGCGTGTTTTGGAAACCAACCCAAAGTTGACGAAATTGTCTGTTCCTGGATGTACAAGATTAAGCATCGATGGTATTTTGAATAACTTGAAGGCTTTCAAGTTGTCAGGGACAGGTGGCACTTCGGGTATCAAACACATAAGAACAGGTGGGTTTTATGGGATAACATATGAGCACTTCAAAGAGTTGAAGTTTTTGTTGGGTAGTGATGACAGCAACAACATTCAGAAAAATGATTATCTTCCTCATTATTATCATCGTGGGAATTTGTATCTACCAGATGATGAACGTGATATAGACGTTGAAGTATGTCCAAGGTGTCAGAATTTGAGGCTTGTGTATGATTGTCCAGCTGAAGGGTGTTTTGGGAAAGATCAATGTAGGGCTTGTATAATTTGCATACCTCGATGTGCTCAATGTGGTCGTTGTGTGCATAACAGTGAATACGAAGAAACGTTTTCTTTGGAGTATCTTTGTTCTGGGTGCTTGAAGGAGATGCCACGGTGTCAAAAGGTGCAACAGATGGATGTTGATGTTTTTTGACGTGCCAGTTCCACGTCAGACGGTATGACGTTGCTTGCTCCTATGTGGTGGAGTTTTTCGTCCTCTTCAACATCTTTTAGAAATGGATATTAGTTTGGTTTATGGAAGACCCCTGGGGTTTTCGTTTTTTTTTCTTGAAGGGTGATGAGAAAATTGGAAAAGGAAAAGTTAAAAAAGAAGTCAGATAGATAGAACACGTGCGCAATGGATGTGACTTCTTGTTGACGTGGTGCTGTCGGGTACGGGTGTAATTGGTGAAATCTCAACGGTTATAATGGAGAGGAATGGAAGGAGGTGTGTAAATGGTCAAAGTTTTGACCATGAGGATTCGTGATGGTTTGATGACGGGTAGACACGTGTTGTGGAGTTGGGTGGGTGGAGCGGGTCGGATATTGGTGTGTTGACTGCCTGGGTTACACGTGTATTAATCTGATTCTGCATGTTGCATGTGATGGGTTTTGGGTTTTGACCCGTCTATGGTGTTTGGCTGGATCTTTACGTGGATTCAGATACGATGTCGTTGTTCTTTGGACTCTTGTATTTTCATTTGATGTTTTCCTGTTTTATTTTTGTTACAAAGTGTATTAATTGTTAAAATGTCATGTTTGTGGTGTGTACCATGTTTTCTTTTGTTAAAAAAGTTTTTATTAATGGTTAAAATGTCATGTTTGTGGTGTACCAACTGTGACTCAAATCGAGATTTTATATACTTAAACTCGACTAGATACATGTTTTAAGCTCATAATACAATATATTTGAAATGAAGTGGTTGTATGTGGCTACCTTCTGTACTCTAACTCAACTCATTATACTTTTGTTTGTGCTCAAACTCGAAATCAATTGATTGATGCCGAAAGTGTATTTGTGACGTCAAGCTTTTTCAAGGTAGACATCGGTTGTCTTTATAAAATGTACAAAGTGTTTTACGACAAAGTATTTTTTACATGTAAGAAAGAAGGGGATGGAAACTAAATTTGATCATTCATTTGATAACTATAATTCACAAATGCTTCAAAAACATCGTTCATTTTGCTGTGCTTATGTGGGCATATAGGATTTTTATAGAATTAAGGTCATAATTAATCATTAAACATTTTAAATGATTATTTGGTCACTCGATTTCTTTTTGGTTTTAAAAGGTAACTAAAATTTGTTAATTTTTATCAAAATGGTTATGATCCTGGTTTTAAAAGGTAACTAAAATTTGTTAATTTTTATCAAAATGGTTATGATCCGCAAGAACCCCATAACTTTTTATAATCTAAGGTCATTGAATTTTTTTTGTTATGCAAGTTCATTGAACTTTTGAAATAGTGCTAATTTGGTCATTTATATATTTTTTTTATAATTAGTTTTTACAATTTTATTTTGTTACTTCATTTTTATATGTTTTTTCACAATTCGTTTTTATAATTTAATTTTAGTGTTAATTATGACCTTAAGTCCTTAACCCATGAACATGTATGCATCATCTGTTACTATTTATACGGACAAACTGGGCTTTGCCATATTTCCTAATTCCTACCAAGATCATTATTTCCCTCCCCCAGTCCCCCGTCTTGTTGTTAAATAGAGAATGTGTTGAGTTGTGGAGTTTGAAATGCGTCGAGCCTTATTGCTGCTATTGAGACTTAGATATAGGGTCCTGATAAGTGTTGGCCTCCAAAATCCTATTCGGAATGGGGCTGTCGATCATAACACAACACAAAATGAAATTGAAATTTTGAATTTGTGTTTCTAGTGTAAAAAACATAAAATCTTGTTGTGTGGTGTTTGGGTTCAAGAAATACTAGAAACGAATATAATATAAGTTTATTATAAATAATAAATACCCCCAAACCGATTACATAAATTCAACATTCCCTGCAATTTCTCTACACAAAAGCTTCGACTCAGCAGCCAACTTCAAGCTCTTATGAATCACCAATCCCGTTAACTTATGCGTTGATCCCGGTTCATATTTCTTAGCTTCCTCTTCACTCCCCATCACCAAAGCCTCCCTAGCCGGAATCACATTTTCCCACCAAAACTCACGTAATACACCATGTATCAAATTCCAGTAATCTTGATCTCTACATATACGAAAAATCGTACTTCCATTTATCGTCCAACAATACAAATCAACCCAATCTCTATCCATAACCTCCATCTGACCCTGAATCTGAGGCATATAATAAAACGGCATACTCGACCACGGAATCGCTGATTCCGGTTTCCCTTTGTTAAACGGGCATTTCACTTCGAGAATCCCGGCATTTGGAAAACACCCGAGAAGCCCATCTGGTGATGCACCGATCCAATCGAATTTATCTTCCGAATGTGTCGCGAACCCTAATGAACTCACTTCACGTCCGGTTATTGTTTTGTATTTTTCAATGGCGATTGATTCATTCACAACACCCCATTCCATGGCTTGTTTTGAAGCGAGTGTGATGTTTGATTCTGTATCTAAAGGGAAGACTTTTTCATGCCAAAGTTCGGATCTTCTTTTGCCTTTCCATAAACCCAGAGCAGTGCTGAAGGTGCTGGTGGTTAATCGGTCTTTTCTGAGGGCAAACCATTCTTTGGAACGTTGGGCAGGGGAAGGGGAGTTTGATGGGGTGAGTTGACAAGTCAAAGTTACCCATTGTTGTGGGTTGTAGGGTAGAGAGGTTGATGGTGGTGATGCACAGGTGGGAAATGGTCGGACGAAATTGGACTGGAATTTCATTCTCTTGGGAAGTATGTGCAGTCTAGTGACACAGGCGTTGGTCATTTTGGAAGTCTAGAAAAACGAGAAACGGATTAATAGAAATTAACAACCAAATCAAACAGGTGAATCAAGATTTTAAACATATGTAAATAGAGAAATAAAGAGGTTCGTCAGTTTAGGGATACGAACCCTAAAAACGTTTAACATTAGTAGCTTGGAGTTGCTTGAAGATTTGAGATGAAGCATAATGTGGAAAATCCATGGAAACTTTTCCGGTTAAGAGGAGAAATTAGGGTCTCCAATTGAGTTTTAACAGAGTGTAAAAAGCAGAGCTGGTGGCTAAACTGTTTTGATATAGAATTATTGCTCAATAATAGGAACTTCATTAATTCAATAACCCTACAAACTTTAAAACGGGAAACTTGCGATTGCTTCAAAAGTTGAGATGAATCTTTATGAGAAACCCCATTGAAGTATTGCTCAAGTATAAGAATTTCAATATTTTGAGTATACAGGAACCCTAAAATTTGGTAGAGATGGATGACTAGCCTGTTTTAGCATAAGAATATGAAGATGAAGACATACCCAATTCAATTTAGAGGCCGGTGGTTTGCAATGTTCAATATGTAGTAAAACCCTGATCTTTTTGGTGATGGATTGCTAGGGTTTATTATCAGTTTTGTTGAACGAAGAAGAGAGACAGGGGGTTCAATAGTCCATTTACATGTTGGAGCCTTCTAATCCGACTCTTTCCCCTGATTTTTATGAAAGGCTTGATTTTTTTTTTTCATTTATTGTATACAAATATTTATAAATCGTTCGTGTGGTTAAGTTTAGTCTCTGTTAATTTTTAATATCAACAACGATGGTCTTTATAGTTTGAAAAAAATCAATATATCATTTTTCAAAATTGTAGTTAGAATAGGAGTTATCATCAGTCGAGACCTCGTTTTCCCCATCCTAAGGACGGGAACTCACTTCCCTTATTGGGTTCCTCTCTGTTCATCATGGCTAACATCATCTATTTTCTTCCGTTCGTGCGAAACATTTGATGGCAAAATTGTCTTTTACAAACCACATGGACCATTTATGAGGTTTTTTTTCATGAATTCATTCACCATGTCGAATGCACCCACCCCCACCCCAACCCTATACCCACAACACGCCAACACCCCAACATCCTTCTCCAGCCGCCGGAACCAACCCATGTGCCGCCACCAACCACAAATGGATAGATCGACCGCCAGAGAAGGTGGTTCTCCCCCACCCCTCTTGTATGCCGACATAGCCTTTGCCTTCGTCAACACATCCCCCCACCCCCTCCTGTATTCTGCTTCTTCTCCTCCCACTCCAACTCAACTACCACCACCACTGACTCAATCTTGTTGAGTTTTAAGACAAAAGTTCATCATCAAAAGCGACTTCCACTCAACTCTTTTCTTGAAACCATGTTTACCCTACAATTACACAATCTTGTCCTTGTTGCTGGGATCGCTACCGAAGACGTTGTTGGTCCTAATGAATGCGTGTTGTAATTTGATTATGAATTGGTGTTGTAATTTGATTAGCAGCAGCGGAATTAATAACATAAACCATTGTTTTGACTTGAGCTTTCCTACTTCCTAGCCTTATGTTCTTAAGGTTTGTTCACGGGGATTAAAGAAATGACAAACTACGAGTGACTGAAATACTCGAAAAGCCTTCAACAATTGTTGTATGTTGAAGAGCTCTTGTATAAGGTTAATGAGTTAGGGCGCCATAGAGAAAGAGGTTGCATTTGCGATTTGCCCATAACATGTGAGGTTTTTTTGGGGGGGACAGGCGCAAAATCATCCAATAGGGTAAAAACCATCAAACTTACATGTAAATTAACTTTAATTGAATGATTATGCAAATTCTTGATTGTTTATGTGTAGGCCATTAATGTTCACAAACACCTTCAAGCATGCTTCATTTAAGTCAATTCATCAAACAACTTCAAGCATGCTTCATGTAAGTCAAATCATCAAACAACTTCAAGCATGTTGAAAGATATATATGCCCAATAGTCATTATAAGATGATATTGGTTGATAATATATGATCCTAAAGGATCATACTAACAACAACTTGATGCAAATATATTATATATAAGAATTTGATTCTTTATATATATATATATATATATATATATATATATATATATATATATATATATCTTATAATTAATTGGGAATTATTTATTTCATGCAAATATTAATTTTCAATGCTAACCATCAAAATATATCATAATATATCATAAGGTATGATTTATTATGTCATATACATCTTTTTGGACCAAAAGGAGTTTTTGTCTTATATGGATTTATATGTTTTATAAGTTATAAAAATTAGAAGAGTTTTTATAGAAAAACTAGCTTCTTCTTTTTATAAATTATTCAAGTTGACCATAAAGGGAAAAGAAGACATGCTTGCATTTATTCAATCATAAAACTATGTTCTTACACTTGTAGCATTTTGTTGCTAGATGCATTGTGTATTAAAGCATCAAGACTCAGTGGGGGTTAGGGTTTTGCAAGAACGACTTTAAGGCTTTGGGGGCAGAAAAGGTGAGGATAAATGACCATAAGGATGCTTAAATACCCCTTAAACCCTAAAACTTAGGGTTTCTTTCGGACGTGAGTACACCCAGCGTACTAGGGCACACCCTAGTATGCTTAGCGCACTCACATGTACGCTCTGCGTACCACTCCTTCTCCCAAAATCACGATCTTGCCACTAGAGCTTCTTGTGACTACTTTCTTCCAAAACAAGGACCACAATGACATACTTTAAAACCAAGAGATGAACTTGAAAATACCTGAAAACTGGGGTGTTACAACTCTCCCCCACTTAAATTCGATTTCGTCCTCGAAATCATTCCTTACCATTCCCGTCTTGCCCTATATCCTGAGGGACACACCCACAACCTTGCACATACAACGACTTTCCTAAGGTTCCCAAACCCAACAGAAAATTTCCAACCCGAAGAAGACGAATCCATAATCCCATGCAGCAAACCCAACCTACTTTATTTGAAACCTAATATCTCGAAGTGGTCTGACTCCTCGATAGACTACCCATACTGAATGCATTACTAGATCCACTTCACTTATCCATCGAATTATCTACTCAACTCTTGCTCACTTGTGATTCTTACTAGAAAACATAATTGCAGACCAACTGTTGCTGCCGACATCCCTCCGCTCGACCAAAAGGGATTAGATATTCCTTCGAGAGAAGTCTCATCCTGATGATAACAATTCCATAAACACAATGGCTACGAAATGCTGATTTCCTTAACTGATGGACCAAAACGATGCTACTATAATCCTGAGGCCTCATCACTTGTCCGACCTTCACACAGGTAGAACCATCCCAGAGCACAAACACATAAGCTAAATCCTGAACCCTCCAGCTAATACCTTGACATACAGATTTCTTAACCCACATCTCTCTGAATACGGACCTTGCATGGATACACACGCGATTCCCAATGCAATTTTTCCACCAGAAGCCCCCTCGGAAATGGCGACTCATAATATCTTCCTGTAGACCCTTCCCTAAAACCGATGAACATCCAATTATAAATTTGTCCCCGGTCCCTGACTGAAGACGCTACCAGAACATACAAAAAGGATCCTCAAAACATACCGATTGCGAACTTCACCCAAAACCAAACCATAAGATGTACCAAAACCTTAACAACCCTTGACTCTCTATTATGCCATTACCAATCACCGCTTCGCTGAGCAAAGATGATCAAACCAATAATTTTCGCGTTACATCCAACTCCTGTCAGTTCATGTGTAACCCCCACCTGAACATCCACTCGAGACACTCATAAATAACTTTATGACTTGCGACCTTATAAGCAATTTCCAACTTAAAAATTCAAACCCTAAGGACAGCTTGTGAACAACCAAAATTATAATGCATGCCTCCCACAAAGACTTTCTGATACCTGATTGATACTCCCCACAACCCTTACTGCTCCCTTTATCTAACCAATAGATTTGTGACTCGCCCGACTCCCATTAGCGCGTCAACACCGAAAATTCTACCAACTGAAGAATAAACAATCATGATCACTAGGCCCACAGCCTATGACTGGAATGCTCTCGATATCACACCAACCTTGTCGTCATCGCATCATCCGCCCAGCACTCCGGGTTTGAAGATACCCACCTCATTCCATTGCTTTGAAGGGACCTAATAAACTCCCTTACAACGCCAACCGAGCACCACAAAACAGCTACCAAAACAAAACCTTACGAAAACATGGCCACACACGACCCGCGAATAGGATAACGACTACACTCTTGGTCTAACTCGAAGGATATAACTCAAAAGGACCATGCACATAATTTGAACCAAGGGATCCAATGCTATCTTGCCCAACTCACGTGAAAAACCACCATGCACATCCTTGGGGAACCCATAATCTATTCCCAAGAGAGAAGAAACACCAGAGATAATCGAAATAATACCCCCAATCAATAACAAAAAACATCCTCACGATCAGTCGAAACAAGATCCCATACTTGGTTGAGACTAAACGGATTCATTATGCAACTAGCTCGAGAAGAATTCCATGGTGGTCCTGAAGGTTACCAAAACCTGAGTCTGTTATGAACCGAGTTCCCCACTCCATCATCGAGGGTAAACATACCTGAAGACCAAAGGAACATAGAACATACTGGACTTGATGACAGATTGGCCCGACCACTGAATTTCAGCTGATACAATTAAACTTTCAAGAGAACCTCTGCTGAATGATGAACCCTGCGACCAGTGGTCAAGGACACATTGACACTTAACCCAGAGAATCAAGACTCACATGGGACCGAACATACCCGCTTCTGGAAAAGATCCACCGATCAACATCTGCCCAACTAATTCGAAAACTGTAATCCAAACAAAGAACTGGAAATTCCCTCAACGACTAAAATACTCAACCCGAGAATCCCAGTTATCCCCCACTTAGGGCTTTAACTACCACCCACCGGTGTTGAAACCAAATCATAACTCAAACCAGCATAAGCATGTATTACCCTTTCCTGACTCTGGAAGTTACGAGCATGCTCACTCCTTCTCTGAACCCATAAAAATTGAAAGGTCATAACCCTTGACATAGATAACAACATTCCAATCCACTTCCAGTTGCAAAACCCAAGCAAATCATAATCATTGTCCCCTTCTTGAGTCCCGCGATTCGAATACCCGACCTCTAGCAAAACCTCTGAGGCCTCAACCAAAGCTCATTAGCTCTGCACCAAACAACCCAAATCAATAACTCCATTGGGGCTCAAAACACTTACCAAATCCATCTACATGCCTAAGCAGCTACAACCAAAAGATTAACAGGAACATAAACACTGCCGCGAATCATGGTATCCAACCATGCTATCTTTCCCGACCAACCCTTATAATCCCCGAAACCCTCCTTGATTCGAGTATGGATGCTGTGTTTCAAGTACTACAGGCCTAATACTACCTTCCACGCATATCCATACTTTCCTCAAGAATCATCTCGGGTCCTCCAAGACCTACTTACAAAATACTCCTGAAACCTGCTCAACAGCGAAGCAACCGCACAAAATACTTCCTAGGCTCTCCTAGGATTCCACCCACACCTCCTCTGTTGTAACACTGTAAATTTCCAGACAAATTTTTCATTTTTAAAATCTCATAAACTCGATATCACATTTCCCAAAAACCACAAAAAGTATAAATTGTCAGAATACAAGTCAGCAAATGTTTGATAAAATCCCAAAATCCTCAAATAATGATCTCTAATTGGTGTGTACAGTCAAGCCGGCGCCTTCCCGCAATCATGAGAAGTACCTAAAACACATATCACACAACACGGTAAGCACGAAGCTTAGTGAGTTCCCCAAAATACCACACGCAAATAGTTAGCCTCTCATGGCTATATCTCGATAAGGACCCTCCGATCCATGTGTTCCAGTGAGGACCCTCCGGTCTCACAACTCGGGTTGGACCCTCCGGTCCTAACCAATAAAACACAGAATAATATACAACATAAATCACAAAGACAAATGCATGATATCACATAACTCAGTACAAACATATAAGACCCTCCGGTCACACAATATTACCACTCAGGCAAGTATAGTGAGAAGACTCACCTCGTAAGTAAAGCAGATATGTCTTGTACTCAAACTGCAGGTCTAGACTCCGCCTACATATATCACAATCACCTCTAATTAACAATTTATCAATAACTTTAAACTTTTATGCCAACT